TCAGTCGCTAGTGCGCCTCTTGAGATCAGGGGAGTGAGGTTTACCAGCACAGCTCTTACTAGCTGGAATCCGTTACAATAAAAAGAACACACGATTTTTACATTTCCAGCTATTTCTAGCTTTTCTTTGGCTTTGGTAACCCTATATATAAATTACAACCACCACAATGTACTTTAATTCCATGTTTAGGTTAAACTCACCTAGTTTGATGATGCCAATCTCCTGTAAGTCTTCCCATGTGAGATCTCGGACAATGTTTATCGAGTCATAGCCATTCTCAGAGAGTTTCTTATGATACTGAGGCATACCTATGGCGCTCAGCCACTCCCCAAGATCCTGCTAAGAGACGAGTTTTAACTGTGAGTGAACTGAAGATAACACCATAGAGACACGCGTATGCATACTATAACGTATAGTGACTTACTGGTATGTACTCTGGTAGCCATTCTGGAATGCTGAGGTTGCCAATCTCCAGAGAAATTTTCTTACGGTGACCTGGTTTAGTCACACCAATAGCTGTGAGATCCTGAAAAAATGGCAAAATACTTCATCGACATCAACTCTAGCTGGAGCAACAAGAATGAGAGGCACTTCTCTTCAAAGCAACCAAACATTGGTTCTCTGAACGTACCTCTGGGGTCATTCTGCTGATGGTAGGTACATCATAGCCAGCATTGAGGAAATTTACAGTGTACTGCTCCAACTGAAACTCACTCAGCCACTGATAGATGGCCTCAGCATCCTGACAATGATAAAAGACATGAGACATGACAGGTAGCAAACAGAATGCAGGATATTTTAATAGACATTTTAAGGTATTTTACGGCAAAATCTGATTTTTACTTTGCATCCTGCTGTGTACAAAACAGATTTATATTTTTACAATACAAAATTAATTTGCCATATCAAAATATTATCAGGTCTATCTTAGTCTTAACTGTAATAGTGTTTTCTGACCTTGCCCTCCAGCAGCTGTTGAGGACGCACAAACTGTTGAGAGAAACCCTGCTCTCCTGCCCTCTGTGTGGGCAGCACAGGTCTGCGAGGAACTCCTTCAAAACAACAAAATGTATACGCATGTTATATATGCACAAATATTCACTTGAAGGTATTTTCAGTGTCTTTGAATCAGCTGGTGTTTTGCCATTTTTTAAGTTGAAGTCAGTTATCCTCAAGTTCACACAGGTGTCCTATCAGAGGAATTTTGTTTGATATTTTATCTAATGCAGTAATGTTCATAAATGTTATGTGTCCAAATACTATCGCTGTATACAGATGCACACAGTAAATATGGCACAGGCAACTCTTTTACCTGTGGGTGCGTCTGAATGTTTGTTTAGATCTGGCTGTAGGAAATCCACAACCGAAGGTGTTGCCTGTGTAAAATAAGATGAAATGTCAGAAGAAACCTTAGCAATAAAACTTTAGTTACCATTGGAATGACAAATCTATGGCTGAAGCTAAAAAATGTTCAACTAAAATAACAGGCATCACTGGTCCATTACGGTCTGATGAAGAGTTGTAGACTTCTAAACATTGCAAAGTGGGAATTTAACAAACTGGATGTATTTTTGGAGCTGCGATGTGCCAACTTTTCTCCTACATATCAGGTATGAATCCTTGGAATCAATTCAAACATTATTAGTATACAAATGTCTTAAATGAGACAAAACA